TCTTCCTTGTTACCACAGACCCAAGCAACCCACAGTGACAATCATGACAACGATGTTCGTCCAACTGCGCCGCGTGGTGTACCTGTTGGTACTTCTGCAGTGCTGTGTGTGTGTGGCATATGCGCAAAGTGGTACTAAAGCTGTGACACCTATGGAAAATGATCCTACAGAGATTCTCAACGAAATGATTAGAGAGATAGGATCGCAGAAATATATGTTTTATGATAATCTTCAGTTTTTAATATCAGCAGAGAATGATTGCAAAAAAGTTTTAAATCGTGCTAAGAATGCAACGAATGATACGCGTGAAGTTTATGAGCTTTTGAGGTCCTTATTGAAAGAAATACGTAACACTGAAAACGTGAGTAAGGAGGAAAGTGAATCAAAAGAATTGTTAAGGAAGGCAGTGGATGCACAAAGAGAGGCCAAAGATGCCGCTGACAAGGCGAAGTCGATAGCTGCAGAAACAACGTATTCGGTGAGTGTAATGCAGGATCGTACAATGGGATTGCAAATACTAGCGGACCGGATAAAAAAAATTGCTGAAGAACACATTCAAAATGAAAAAGTAAAAAAATTGGCTGAAGAGTGCATGCAAAAAGCGGAGGATCTAAAGGCTCCTCTTGAAGGTGTCAAAGCGGTCATTGAAAGTGCTCCCAAGGTGGCGGAAGAGACCAAGAGACAGGCGGAAGAAGCCTCCATTGAAGCAGGTTTTCTTCAAGAATTAATTAATGAAGCTTTCAAACATTATCCACAGATGAAAGAAGAGCTTGAACGAGAACGTAATGAGGCGGCTCAAACAAACGCCAATCCAACGAATACAGAAAGTGGAAGTGAGACACCAAACGAAAATAAGGAGGTGGACGGTTCACTTCCAAATAAACAGAATGAAGAAGAGATAAAGAACCCGAATACCAATTCCGCACAAGCTGAGGCGGGAAGCCATACAACTGACCAACAGCAGCAGAGTGAACATGGCTCCGAGGGTCAAAATAATGAAGAAAGCAATGTTGAAACACAAGAAGAAAATCGAAATTCTCAGAGCAATCATCCTACTGACAGTCAATCATCTGCCACTGGAACTTCGCCATCACAAAATACGCCAACTAATTCTCCTTCTACAGATTCAATATCTATTAATATTCCACAGTTAAGTGACAGCAGCAGCATTCCTGCATTGGTGCACAGTCCCTTATTGCTGCTTCTTGTTTGGATGTGTGTGCTGGGCTGCACTGCGGTGTTCTAATGGAAGCTGCTGGTGGACGTGTGCATGGCGAAGGTGAATCCCTCTATATTCTTTGCGTGTTTGTTTCTCTGCATGGCCCGTGGGTTAGGTGATATTGCAGCGCAGGGACGCACTGGCCG